TTCTAAAACATACATATAATGTCATATCAAAATGGTACACATTCTACAACATACACATAATGTCATATCAAAATGGTACACATTCTACAACATACACATAATGTCACATCAAAATGGTACACATTCTACAACATACACATAATGTCATATCAAAATGGTACACATTCTAAAACATACATATAATGTCACATTAAAATAGTACACATTCTAAAACATACATATAATGTCATATCAAAATGGTACATATTCTATAACATACATATAATGTCATATCAAAATGGTACATATTCTATAATGTCAATTTATAAAAATTTATTCCTTTGTTTATTAACATGATTAATGTGTTCATTAAACCATGGGCAAAAATGTTTTACAGCTAAATAAAAATTTATAATTGAACTATAACAATAATTGTCAGTACACAAAATTTATTTCAATATATTTGATTATAGTGAAGTGGAAGAAGTTAATTTACAGTGTTTTTGACACCCAAGCTGATATCATGTTCATCTATTTAATTGTACAAATAAATTAGGGCTGGTCTTTAACTGCTTTGACCATGTTTCCTTACTAAGTCATAATTGTCATCTAGCACATTAGCAAATCCTGTTCAGCTTGTCAGTCTAGTACAAAGCAGGATTCATATTGATATCAAATTAAGAATGTTCTCATCCTGAATATGCATTACATTTGAAACTTGATGTTGTACAACCATCCATCATCTTTTTTTGTGACAATTTATATTAATGTCAACTTAAGATCAGCAAATGCTGTCAGAGTGTGTGTGTATGTATACATATAAATATATCACTTTAATTTTTGTAAGTAATTTGTTTATCTTACCTTCCAAGAGCTGCTTTTTTCAGCTGTTTACACCTGTATAATGAATCTCCATACTTCAAGAGTCTGGAATAGTCTTTAGCAACACTGATAAAAAACCAACATAAAATATTCAGTCCTTTTCATACAAGTTAAGTCAAATTTCAGCGTTATGCTACAGTACATGTATGTTAACATTGTCGATATGTCTTAGCAGTTACAATATATTACAGTTCAATAATGTTTTGGGGTATTTTTCATTACCTCTGTTAATTTTGGGCAAAATTTGTCATGTTTTCATTGATTGATTGCATTGGTGTTTAATGCCACTTTCAGCAATCTTGGCTATTTCATGGCGGTCAGTTTTTATTGGTGGAGGGAGCTGGAGTGCCCAGAGAGAACAACTGACCTTTGGCAGGAAAACTGACAATCCTAGTCAATAAAGATTGGGAGTCCAGTGCACCTGCCCCATGTGGGATTCGATCTCATAACCTCAGCATTGACAGACTAGTGAAACAGTAATTGGGCTACTTAGACCACTCGAGTCCTCCTGTTTTCATTGAAGCAAAACGGTTAACTCTAACCTCAATAAGACTAACTCAACATTTGTTTGATTCATAATTGAAATGTGCAATGACATGAAAGCCAGGCAATATCAATCAGACCATGAATTAACCTATATGTTGTTCTACTAAAGCTGGCTTGGGCTTTACTATACTATTAATGGTCTGCTAAAACTTACTTGTCAACTAAATGCCTGGCAGTATTAATCTGACCAAGAGCTAACTTATAATGGTCTTTATCGTACAATACATTCATCAAATCTGCATAAAATGGATGAACTTCCTGAAATATATCAAAAATGTTTAAAAAATCAAAGATTCATACCTTCATTCAAGTAATTTTGCCTTAAATTAAAATCTACATTAGCCTCCTAGAATGAAGTTTATTGCTCAAAGTCATAGTGACAAAAGTTTTTTAAATGAAGTCGTTTTCAAAACAAATGTATAATTCATTAACAATTTGACAAAATACAGATACAAATGTAGTTCTAATGATAACTCTGAGACATACACATATCACAAATACCTACCTCAAGTTTGGGAAAATCTGTTAAGATCTGTGTCAGTTTATCATGAAATGTTTGTTGGGCAAACTTGACTTTACGCATGTAAAAATGACGGATTCTGCCAATACGATATTGTTTGTGTACTACAGTTGGTGTCTTCCTCTGTGTTTTGGACAGCACTATGTCAATAAAATCCTGTAAATTATTAAAAAAAACATTAGATTATGATTGCCTCTAATTTTTTTTTACTTTCATTATTTCAAACTTGACTTCCAGTTTTCTTTCATACAATTTTTACATACAATTTGTGAGACAAAGCACAAGTTTTTTCTTTATTTTCCAGATTTGACATACTACATTTTGTACTAGAAATTATTGCCTGCTGCAATACATGAATTCCTAAAGGTCCAATTAAACCATTAAGATACCTACATCGTCTTTATAATGAGATTCCTCACCCCAACCCACCCCAATATAGTCAGGAGCCTGTTGTGCAGTGGTTGTCGTTTATTGGTGTAGTTCATAGGTGTTTCTCGTTTTTCATATAGATTAGACCGTTGGTTTTCCTGTTTGAATTGGTTAACACTAATCTTTTAGGAGCGTTTACAGCTTTCTGTTCAGTATGAGCCAAGGCTCCGTGTTGAAGGCCGACCTATAATTGTTAACTTTTTTATACATTGTGACTTGGATGGAGAGTTGTCTCATTGGCACTCATACCACATCTTCTTATTTAGAATAGAATGATTGCTTAAGTGTCCGACATGTATAATTTTGGATATACATGTAATAAAGAACTTCAACTAACTAGACCGCTGCAGATGAATATGAGTTTAATGCCACATGACATATATCACTGTATATCTAACAGATGTAAATCCTCCCTTATGTCAAAATAACGTTAGATCAACTGTCATTTGAAAAATTCACCAGTGTATATGATACAGAAACTAAACACATAAAAAATAAATGCAAAAGTCATCTGTAGGTCAACCTACTGTCTTCAAATCAATAGTTACAAAGGACTTAACCCTGAAAATGAAATCTCAAAGGATCCTTGAAACAAATGTATTTGAAAGGTTATTTGAAATGATGTGGTTAAATGGTGTCACATGTCACCTAAAGGATTAAAATATATATCAGATAAACTTATTGAAGATGAATCATGTGTTCCCCAAAGTCAGAAATTATGATTTCATGATCTATATTGCAATTTTACAGTATCTTTTGAACAGTAAATGTTTAGTGTTTATTCATTACAAAGTAGATTAAAAAAAAAAAAGATAAGTAGAATTATCAGACAATAATGGGGCAAACTGATTTTTATTTGTTGGAAATAAGGAAAATTTTAAAGAAAATATGTTAACGTCAGTTGTTAGTTTGTGAAAAAAAATTGAGAGTGGTGAGAAATATATTGTTTTCGTGAAAGAGGTGGCGAAAAAGAAAATTGATCCAGGGGAAACACTGCCCAACCTGTTTAGGATATTATATCCAAAACAAATCAATATAGGCAGGTGCTAATGTGGGACAACTCAGCCCAGAGACAAGTCAGACCTAGTCAAATCATACTGACTAATAAGTCAACTCAGACTGTCTTGGTGTCTATGAAGACAACTCGGACTGTCTATAAAGACAACTCGAACTGTCTATAAAGACAACTCAAGACAATAGAGGATTTGAACTATATAAATGATAATAAATTAATAAATGTTAAGTTTTACTTGACAATATCGTTTGCATTTTGCTGAATTTGCAAAAAAAAAAAAAAAAATTGTATTATGTGAATTCAAATTTTTACTTATCTTTAATTATCAACTTATTATAAAATCTAATTGGGGCAAACAAAACATAAGTGGAGAGTTGTCTCATTGGCAATTATACCACATATTCTTATTTTAATGGGTTAAATTGGTTTTATTAATATGTTGAATTATTTATTATTTAAAATCAACATGATCAACTCCCTGTCTATAGTGCCAACAGAATATAAACATCGTGTGCTATTTAAATGATAACATGTTATATTTTGCATCAAAGTATCCTATAGTGTAGATTTATATTTCTACTTCATCATGATGATTATATATTTAGAATAAAATCTTCATAATTCATTAAACCAACTTTTAAAATTAATCTTTATATTAAATTCGTTCTTTCGTCATAAAGATTAAATTAAATCAACAATCAATAATGTAAATTCAATTATTCTAATTAAATGACCAAGAAAATGATAATCAAATTACACAAGCTCATTATAGTTTGTTAAAAAAGTAATTAAGGCCTCAAAATCACATAAAAACTTTATCAAAGATTTGTCTTCAGACAGTCTTTTTCATTATATCATTTATTTCGTCAAAACAATAATTTTATACTAATATGCTGAGTTGTAATTATAGATCGTCCAAGTTAACTTATTGATGGTCCAAGTTGCCTCGCACCTGCAGGTGCTACCTGATGAGCTCCCGAAGAAAATTTGTGCATGTTTCTATTGTTTATCATGGTTATACTTTTCATCTTACTCATAATAAAATTGTATGTGCAACTTTGTTAGTTGATAAAATGTATAGCCAACAACGATCAACCAATCTAACACCATTTATTATGTTTGATATCATATGAACTTGAAGGTATGGTTATAAATTATGTCATACAATTTCTACAATAGAACATGAAGTCTGAATAAGAAGCTAGTGTTTCTTTCAAATACTATGTCAATTGATATTACTTTTGATGGTGGAACCACAGTGATTTTCTTAAAATTGTAGTGTGACATTTTGAGTGCTGTTGCAAAATCTGGCACACACGTGAAAAGGAAGTTGACAATTGGTCAGGAGTGGAATATTTGCTAGATTTTCATTGGTAAAAATAATGTAACATCTGCATACCAATTAAAAGTTGAGAAATATGATCCACTACAACGGACTAATTTGACAACAATTAATAGAAATTTCTGTAAAATAAAAAATCATTAATACTTAAATTTACAAAAATGGTAAAACCGATATTTTTCAAAAATTAGATAAATTTTGAAATTGCGAAAATTTTCGATAAAATATCTTTTCCGTAATATCAACAGGATCTCTCCACACTAGTTCTATTTTATAATATTTTTGGACTTCCGGTTTTAAATTTGGCAGGTCCAAAAAATGGACATTGTCAGTCTTGAAGAAATAAATCAGTCAGACATCAAAGGTAAGACCCAATAATATTTGACCTCAAAGTTTGACTTTAGCCTAATCTTCCCATGATGTCCAAATACAACGTAATCGTCGGAATATGATATATGAGACAGCAACCCAACGACAAAAGTAATTTTTCACTAGTTTTCTAAATAGGTGTCTAGATCGTTTTTAACACGTGTTACTGCACCAGGAAACAGCCTGCAAGATGAAACTTCATCTAACCAGGACACATTATTCCCAGTCAGAGCAGACAACGTTGTTGCTCTTTCTTCTTCATCATGTTCATGTCCTTAATACTGCTTATCTTATAGTGGGAAGCAGAAAATAACGAGTTTTAAGTTCCGGTTTGACATGTTTGACTACGGCATGTCCAGAAATTGAAATGGTGACATCAATCCTGCAATGGAGGCGAGCACACCACCATGTGACCACTCAAGCAGTTAGAACCATAGTTTGATGGCAAATTATTATCTTATTAAGAGAGGCGGAAGACACCAAAGGAATGTTAAAACTCATAAGTCACGGAAGACAAACTGACAACGCCATGGCAAAAAATGCAAATGCAAGATGATGAAAAGACAACAGCAGTCTTTAAAACACAAAATTCAAAACTCAACACTGAGCAATTTAAACTTGATGTGAACCAATGTACCAAAACATGGGTAATCTCAAAGACTCTGGAAGGATAAGCAGATCTCGCTCAACATGTGGCACCCTTCGTGTTGCTTATGCAAGTACAAATTCTGTGAGTGATAAGACTCATTTGGTGATGTCATGTTCAAGGGAAAGAGAACGGAATTATGGTAAAGATAATTTGAACATATCTGTTGTCATCTGTGAAAGAGATATTCCATAACAAATAACTTTAATTAAATGTATTCCTTCTTGCTGTCTTATTAAGATAAAAAAGTATGCTGTTTAGTAAAAGTCTGTTATTAATTTCGATGAAATTCGGTTCAATAAAAATCGGCTGTGTAGTTTCAGAGGGTGATTTGTCAATTAGAATCAAAGAATGCATCTGTCAACAAGGCCATGTTTTAAAAGTTCTTAGATACATTGTAATTGAAAAATGTTTGTTAAGGGCATTCCATGAACGATAAGCATGATAAGGAATTCTTGTGAGTTTGGCTATATTTTGGTCCAAGTTTCCAGAGATGAAAATGTGTAAAATTTATCTGAATGGATGAAAAACATTTGGCAAAAGCTCAAATGGCCCTTATGGCCAGATAAGCTGATAAAATTTGGAAGGGTACCATTGAACCCTTATGTATGAAATATGAATAAAATTAATTTTACACCATAAACACCATACCGTGTACTTGTTCCGATATTTATGTAAAATTTGTCACTGGATGTTAAAGTCTAATTCATCACTATCATCCAAATGCTTTTAATCATGCTTATTAACAATACATTCTAAGGCTATAAATGCAAATATGAGAGAAGTTGTTATGATATATTCAATAATTTTTAGTTTGTTTCCTTTATAGCTCACCAGGGGCACGAAGGGCCACATGTGAGCTTATGCCATCACTTGGCGTCCGTCGTCGTCGTCTGTCGTCGTAAACTATTTAAAAAATCTTCTCCTCTAAAACTACTGGGCCAAATACTTTCAAACTTTAACTAAATGTTCCTTAGGGTATCTAGTTTATAAATTGTATCCGAAGTTTTGATCCATCGACAAACATGGCCGCCATGGCTAAAAATAGAACATAGGGGTCAAATGCAGTTTTTTGCTTATATCCCAAAAACTAAAGCTTTTAGAGCAAATCTGACATGGGGTAAAATTGTTCAATTGGTCAAGATCTATCAGCCCTGAAATTTTCAGACGAATCGAACAACTCATTGTTGGGTTGCTGCCACTAAATTGGTAGTTTTAAGGAAATTTTGCAGTTTTTTGTTATTATCTTGAATATTATTACAGATAGATATAAACTGTAAACAGCAATAATGTTCAGCAAAGTAAGATCTACAAAAAAGTTTATATGACCAAAATTGTCAATTTACCCCTTAAGGAGTTATTGCCCTTTAAGGACAATTTTACACAAGTTGTTTTATGTTTTTTAACTTTTAAAATCTTCTCAAATGAATCTAGTATAAATTTTGTATTTCATTTCCTTGTACGTCAAGAAACATAGACACTATGGCTAAAATGGAACATATGGGTAAAAAGCAAAAATAATCATTGATGAAAGATTTAAGCAAAAAAAATAACAGGTGAGCGATTCAGGCTCTTGAGAGCCTCTTGTATTTCTTTTCGATTGGTTATGTTTTTTTGATTGATTTTGTTTGTTTTCGTTTTGTTTCTGTTAGTTTCATTTTTGTTTTTTTAATTTTTGTTTTGTTTCTATTTCATTTTGTAGTTTATAGGCACCCCAGAAAGGATATTATAGGCCAAATTGGATATAAATTTTCAATGTAAAATATCTTAATTTTTGTATTTCCCTGAAATATTGAAAAGAGCGTTTGTTTAGCATATTTAGGTCAGTAGTAGCAACTTTTGGTTAGTCAATTGACCCCTTAAGGAGTTATAGCCCTTTAAAGACAATTTTACACAATTTGTTCATCAAGTTTGCTAACATTTAAAAATCTTCTCCTCTGAAACTACTGGGCTAAATACCTTCAAACTTCATCTAAATGTTCCTTAGGATATCTAGTTTATAAATTATATCCGAAGTTTTAATCCATCGACAAACATGTAAAGCTTTTAGAGCAAATCTGACATGGGGTAAAATTGTTCAATTGGTCAAGATCTATCAGCCCTGAAATTTTCAGACAAATCGAACAATCCATTGTTGGGTTGCTGCCACTGAATTGGTAGTTTTGAGGAAATTTTGCAGTTTTTTGTTATTGTCTTGAATATTATTATAGATAGATATAAACTGTAAACAGCAATAATGTTCAGCAAAGTAAGATCTACATAAAAGTTAAATGACCAAATTTGTCAATTGACCCCTTAAGGAGTTATTGCCCTTTAAAGACAATTTTATGCAATGTGTTCATCAAGTTTGCTAACATTTAAAAATCTTCTCTTCTGAAACTATTGTGCCTAATACTTCTTAACTTTGAATGAATGTTCCTTTAGGAATCTAGTTTATGAATTGTATCCCAAATTTTGATCCATCAACAAACATGGCCGCCATGGCTAAAAATAGAACATAGGGGTGAAATGCAGTTTTTGGCTTATATCTCAGAAACTAAAGCATTTAGAGCAAATCTGACATGAGGTGAAATTGTTCAAAAGGTCAAGATCTATCAGCCCTGAAATTTTCAGACACACGGAACAACCTGTTGTTGGTTTGCTGCCACTAAATTGGTTGTTTTAAGGAAATTTTGCAGTTTTTGGTTATTATCTTGAATATTATTGAAGATAAAGATCAACTGTAAACAGCAAAAATGTTCAGCAAAGTAAGAGCGTTTGTTTAGCATATTTAGGTCAGTAGTAGCAACTTTTGGTTAGTGCCTTTTCCAAAAAATAGATAAGTTGTTAGATTGATCCCTCTGAAAATCAGCTTCTTTCAAGGGATAAAACTCAGAAACAATCCAGTATTCAGAAAATTTGCTTACAAAAAGTTGTTGCCTTTTATGTAATTATTTACACTTTGCAATATTTTTTTGCACAGTAAACTAAAATCCCATTTAGGGTATTATATCCAAAAAAAGGATATTATAAACCATTTTGGAGATAACCCCCTACCTGTTCAATATTATCTGGTTTGTCAAAAATATTATCAAACTTTACAGTGATTAGAATGGATGCTTGTTTAATTCTCATTGAGTGTTGTATTTTATAATGTACAAACCAATCAACAGTATTTGGCTTGTCTATACTAAGTAACTTTGAGTTTTCCACATTTACAAGAATGCAGTTTTATAATATCATAACAGATACATGTATCTCAAATTTGAAAAGGTAAATATTTATAAATAGTTTGGTGCATTTGTAAATATACAATTATATTGCACCATATAATTCTGGAACATATGGATCCTCTTAAAAGTTTGGTTGACTAATATGAAGCTTTTTTACATTTATATTTGCAATTACATTTAAGACCATTAGTCATTGTTAGTTGAGGCACATATTTTTCTCACAAGTGTATAATGTAGTACTCTTTATTTTTCAGAGAATACAGATGATGCAATAAGTAAAGATATAGAAATCTGTATCAGTCAGTTCACACAGACATTAGAAGAAAACTTAGCATCATTTATTGATGTCACCACTTTAATAGATTACACTAAAAAGGGGAGACAACCAACAGAAAAGCCAATATTTAAATGTGGAGAATGTGGGAAAATTTTCCAGATGAAACACCATTTACAGGTAAAAAGCAAATTGGTTAATGAATCAAATGATAATGAGGCATATGTATGACACCTTGAGCCAAATTTTCACTTTTAAGGGATAGATGAAACATAAAGATGGTTTGATGTTTTCTGTCTTGTAAGGTTTATGTTAACCTTGACCTCCTTTTGATGTTTCCAAAACACACAAAAAATGAATGTTAATTAAGCTTTTGTAATTGTTATGATTGTGCAATCTTAATCTTGTCAGTTACTTTTAGTAAATAGGTCAAATATATTTAAGTCTATACAATCATTGTTAGGTTTGTGTTGCAAGGTTTGGTTGACCATGACCTTATTTTCAACAGTGTGTTCAAGGATTATTGAGCTATATTGAGTTCTATTGATTAGATTTCCTTTTAGTTTCTATAAGTAATAGGACATTCATTATTTTGGTTTCAGACATAAATGAAAAGTAGTTTTCAAGTTAAGTGAAACAAAAGTTGATCTCATCCCTCCCTAAAAAATGAAATAAAAAATAATTGGTTGTTTCCTCACAATCTTGCGATAATCAAAAGATATTTAAAATTCAATACTGTTGAGGCATTCTATTCACTATGAAAAAGTTATTGCCCTTGCATGCTATAGTCTTTATATATGCAGGTGCTGTCTTATTTTGTATGTATGTCTATTTCAGACCCACATGAAAGTTCATATACCTGAGAAATCTTTTAGTTGTGTTAAATGTCATAAAAAATTCACCTTGAGTCATCACTTACAACAACACATCAGAGTACACACAGGTAATTATTTATTGCTTACATCCACTTCATTTGATCTTTGGTGGATAGCCGTCTCATTGGCAATCATACCGAATCTCAAAGCTATCGTTTAACATTAATGGAAAGATTATTTGATTTGACACTTTATGTTTAACAGACAACTGCATATACATATGTAGTTATATCATTTTTTATTCAATGTTTGATATAAATTTATTTCATATTTACTAACATTTAAAAAAATATATTTAAAAGAAATAAATAACTTTTATGTCTATTTTTTCATCAGGTGAAAGACCATACAAATGTGAAGTGTGTGAGAAGGCATTTATTTCTAGTTCTAATCTAAAACGTCATCTAGATACACATGTGCAAAAAGTGGTTAAAATGGATGATGACAATATGTACATTACAGAGAAAGAACGTGATTACAAATGTCAAGTATGTGACAAGGAATTTGTACGGTATGACCACCTGAGGAGACATATTCAAATTCATACAGGTGATATAAGATTTACATGTTCTGTGTGTGACAAAAATTTTGGACGTAAAGAACACCTAACTAGACATATGAGAACACACAGTAAATCTAAATCACATGTGTGTCCTATATGTAAACGTGGATATACTAGGAAATATGGTCTAGAAGCGCATATGGAAACTCACGAAGAGGATGAGGACTCGGAGTATGAAAGTTCTGATGAAGATGTTGATCTTTTGGAGGAGGAAGTTGATATTGAAGAGGAGGACATCGATATCAAAGAGGAGGACATTGATATAAAAGAGGAAAATATTGCTACAATAGAAAATGGAATGGATATTAAGCAAGAGAAAATTAATGTGAAAGAGGACAAACTAGATGTTAAAGAGAGGGTAGTTGGTGTAAAGGAGGAGCAAAACTGTGATTAATCCTGTTTGTTATATAATTATTGTTAAAATAAATTCTACCTGTTATATTGATTATTTATGTTGCAATTTCTTATTAATTACTGAACTTAGGTAATGTTTTGAACTTCAACAGTGTTTTGTGGACTTTAGTTAAGTTTTTTAATCTTTTTTTCTCTTGTTCTTTTTCATGGTGTTAAGTGGTGTTGTCTGTCTTTCTAAAATTGTGTATTTTGGCATGCTCTCTTGGTATCTTCTTCCTTTTTAGCTCACCTGGCCCAAAGGTCCATGTGAGCTATTGGCATCCTTTGTTGTCATCAGTAATCTGTCGTTGTCACAAACTTTTTCAAAGATCTTCTCCATTGAAACTTGAACCAATTTCAACCAAACTTGGGGTGAATGACCCTTTTGGTATCTAGTATGAATATTAATTCCAGTCTTCCAACAAACATGGTAGCAATAGCTAAAACTAGAACATAGGGGTAAAATGCAGTTTTTGGTTTATATCTCAAAAAGTAAAGCAGTTAGAGCAAAACTGACATAGTTTAAAGTGATCAGCAGTTGAGGATCTATTTATTAGAAAATGTGCAGACAAATCAGACATCCCAATATGGAGTTTATGCCCCTTAAATACTTATTTTTATACGACCGCAAATAATTTTGCGGTCGTATATTGGTATCACGTCGTCGTCCGAAGAATTTGGTTTCCGGACAATAACTTTAGTATTAGTTAATAGAAATCTATGAAATTTAAACATAAGGTTTATAACCACAAAAGGAAGGTTGGGATTGATTTTGGGGGTTATGGTCCCAACAGTTTAGGAATTAGGGGCCAAAAAGGGGCCCAAATAAGCATTTTTCTAGTTTCATGACAATAACTTGTGGAACAGTGTATGGATCTCTCTGAAATTATACCACAAGTTTCCATACCACAAAGGGATGGTTAGGATTGGCTTTGGGGGATTATGGCTCTGACCGTTTAGGAATTAGGGGCAAAAAAGTGAGAAAAACAAGGGTATCCTGGTTAATGGACAATTACTTTTAAAAGTACAAATTACAGTGTAAGGGAGGTAATTCAAACACAACTTTGAATTACCTCCCTTACACTGCTTTTAAATTATGTATAAAGAATTTTTGTATTGTCTTGAGGTGATTAGCTGTCAATTAATGAAGTTACTATTTTAATAATTTAAAAAATGCTGATTAAGGTAAATTAATTTTAGATATGATTATGTATGCCATTTTCTATTTTAAGACTTTTATGATGTATTTAAATGGGTTAATATGGTTGCAAACTCCATTGGAAATTTGAATTGAAATCATGACCATGACTGAGGTAAAGAATTTTTCTTGGAAAAAGGGGGGGGGGGGGGGAGGTTAAAAAAATTGGAGGGGGGGGGGGGTAAAAAAAAATTGGTGGTGGGGGACAATTTTTCTCCTCAAGATTTCAGAAATCAAAAAGATAATCCTTCATTTTTTTTTTTTGAGAAAAAAAGGGGGGGGGGGGGGAGTCAATTCGCAACAGCATAGTGTATTGCACAAAAGCAAAAAATTGACTATAAATTCAAATCATATAACCAATTCTAAGTTCTTTGACTACAGTTATTCTGTGTCAGAAACCTATTATGTGTCAAATATTGAATTACAATCCAAATTCAGAGCTGTATCAAGCACGAATATTGTGTCCATTTTTGCCCCAACTGTTCAGGGTTGGACCTCTGCTGTCGTATCCAGCTGCGCTTGGCGAAGCAATTTATTATGAAATGTCTCAGTTTTTTGTTATTATCTTGAAAACTAGTATAGATAATAAGAAATTTTAAACAGCAAAAATGTTCAGCAAAGTAAGATCTACCAGATGTAGGACTGATTTCTTCAATTGATCCCTATAGGAGTAATTGCCCTTAAAAGCCTATTTTTATTAAGTTGTTAAGATAAACAGAAACTTTGAAGGCAAAGATGTTCAGCAAAGTAAGACTTACAAATAAGTCATCGTGACCAAAATTGTCAATTAAAACCTTGAAGGAGTTATTGCCCTTGAAAGATGATTTTTATGAATTTATTAGTTTTTCGCAGAAACTATGATAGATTATAGAGAGAAACTTTGGCAAAAATGTTCAGCAAAGTATTGGCTTGCAAATGATTCACCATGATTGAAATCATCAATTGATATCTATTAAGATGATGTTTACCAATCATTTTAGTTGTTTCAGAAACTATGATAGATAGTGAGAATCTTTAAAAACATGCATTAGTATACATTAAACAGCAGCATAATCATTGATGCAAAATCTACACACAGAAATTCCAGGTGAGCGAGTCTGACTCTCAGGAGTCTCTTGTTTCTTTTATGTAATCCTTTTGACAATGTCAAACTTATATTTTGTTTGTGGGTGTAAAACTTTAAATTTTAAATGAAAGAGCAAACCATAAGTATAAAAACTGTCAAAGTATAGACGCGTTCATGAGAAATTAAAATGACAGACATCGAAAATTGAAAAACATAAATAAAGCAACACATTAAACTATAGCAAAAGCAACATTCTTCTACTAATGGCCAGATAAGACCTCATGAGGGATAATGAGTTTCTGGTCCATTAGTTGCACCCATAGTGTAAGTCACAGTGATGAATCACAATAAGTAAAGAGTCTTAGTGAAATACTCCAGTTGCTATTAAACCAAGAATATTGCTTAGATGAAAAGGTTCTAATCACACAATGCTTCTTCATATTTTTACTGCTTTCTTTTTAGAATGTAAAACTAATTTAAGAATGCAAATCATTTGTTTGATCCTACCAGCAATTTGACTGAAATTGCTGCAGCTATAAATCTATTTATAGTCAGATATTGGTTCTTGAGTGGTGTGAAACAATGTTAAGTATATTTGACACTTTATCCATGTTACTAGTATGTGAGTACAATTACATTTGCACATTTGCATCTGTTGTTCATTAACTATAACAAAAAAGTTATCAGAATGTCAAAATAAATAAGAAGATGTAGTACGAGTGCCAATGAGACAACTCTCCATCCAAGTCACAATGTATAAAAAGTTAACAATTACAGGTCAAAGCAACCTACTAACTGTTAATCTGTACCAAAATTGTCAGGAGTTTTTGCTCTTAAAAGACGATTTTTACCATTTTTTTTTCGATTTTTGTCGAGCAGGTGTCATCTGACCTTGACCTCATTTTCATGGTTCAGTGGTTATAGTTAAGTTTTTGTGTTTTGGTCTGTTTTTCTTATGGTCTACTATTTTTGGTGTATGGAATGATTGTAAGGTGTACATGTCTAGATGGCAGGTGTCTTCTGATCTTGAACTCATTTTCATGGTTTAGTGGTCAATGTTAAATTTTTGAGTTTTGGTCTTTTTTTCTAATACTATATGCAATAGGTCAACTATATTTGGTGTATGGAAATATTTTATGATGTACATGTCAGTCTGGCCTGTTTTATTTGACCTTGACCTCATTTCACGGTTCATAGCTCAGTGTTAAGTTTTTGTTTTTTGGTCTGTTTTTCTATTACTATAAGCAATAGGTCAACTATATTTGTTGTAAGGAAGGATTGTAAGCTGTACATGCCTGGCATGGTTCATCTGACCTTGACCTGATTTTCATGGTTCATTAGTCAATGTTTAGTTTTCTTGGTTAAGTCTGTATCTTAGAAACTAAAAGCAATAGGTCAACTATATTTAATGCATTGAATGATTGTAAGGTGTACATGTATTTCTTGTTTGGTTTATATGACCTTGACCTCATTTTCTTGGATCATGTAAAGTTTATGTGATAGTTAGAGTAAAGCTTTATATTTCGAACTATCAACATAATATCAATGATTAGGAAAGAAGTCGAGACATTTCAGCGTGTGCACTCTTGTTTACAATAGCTATTTATTTAAAACTATTAAAGACTTATTAACACACTTTTAACAGCAAAAATGGTCAGCTAGACAAGATAAGCATCACCAAAAGCTTTAGTTGAATCCATAAAGCTTTCTTTTCAGTTTCCATTAAAAATTGATAAAAACGTATGGAGATAAAGAGAAACTGTAAATAGTTAAAAAAAAATATCAGCAAATTGAGATATGGCAATAGATATTATGACCGATAGCGTTTTTACCTTGTATTTTGAAAACTATGATAGACAGTTTTAAGTTGTGAAATTTGAGGTGGTGTTTTTTCTTGTTTGCCACATTAAAGGGCAAACTAATCGGTTTTCATGTTTGACGAATCAAATTTAGCCATGTAGTGGTAGCTATTCTGATAAGAGATTCTTTCTAGGTCAGAAGGATTAGTTATATAAGGATTAAACAATTTTGATTGTCAAGATAACACTTCTTAGAAAGTTTGGTGGTCAGTATTACCATAACAAGTTGCATTTGGTAAAGGCCTATGAAGGAATTTGTGCACGTTGACATCCTAGGTGAAAATCAGAGACCGGAAAGAAGTGCATTGTCATGCCAAATGATAGATAACCATGTAGTGAATTGTTCCCCGGGGAACATTGTAATGTTCCTCTGGGTATTAAATATTAAAAGTTAGCATTTAGGGAAATATTCACGTGGGGAACACACAGCTCAATGTGCCGCCGGGGAACACAAATAAAAATTTACCTTTAAGTGCAAAGATTCTCTTGGAAACACACATCAAAAGTTACCAGTGGAAATGTCCCTCATTCTGAGGAACACATATAAGAATTATTATTTAGTCGAAAGTTATTAAATACTAAATGATAAAGATTATATCACTCCTAGTAGTCCTAACTCAAAACTTATTAATTTCTAGGGAGAATGCTGCAGAAGAAAAATAATTGAGTCATTTATAACTTTCGACTGAATGGTAACTTTTATTATGTGTTCCCCAGAGGAACAATTCACTAAATGGTACTATTTGATATGACTGTTCCCCAGAGGAACATTTCACCAAACGTTTATCTTGAGTTCTTCCAGAGGAACATTACACAAAATGGTAACTTTTATTATGTGTTCCCCGGAGAAACGTTTCATAAATTTGTAACTTTAATTATGTGTTCCCTAGAGGGAAATCCCACTTAATTGTAATTTTTGATAAACCGTTCCCCAAA